CCTGGGATTTACTTTGACCCTGTAACTAATATATATTTTTACAACGACTATTGGAATGTCGTTTCTTTTGTAGATATTATAACTGTGGAGCCTCATCTTAATAATATTGAGAGCTCTATTAGAAAAATTATTGATATATGTATTGAATCGAGATTAAATGAATATATACAATGTAAAGATGTCATTAGCCCCATCGAAGTTTTATTACAATCTAATTTTCTAAAGTTAAATTCGCTATCTCATATTATAGGTTCTGATTCACCGAATCGACTTAAAAGGTCTCTTGAGTTCGGTGGTGAGATATTAAAATTCTTTTCGGCACATTGGATGCTGATGATGCTAGGAAATATGATGCTGCTATAGAGTCTGCTCAACAGAGCGAATCTGAATTATTTAGCCTCATAAAAGATAATATTCATATAGTTAAGTCTACCATAAACGCTTTTAATTCTACTGTATCTAGATTGTCAAAAAATGAGTATCGCTTGAATTCACAGATAAATAGTTTAAATGAAATTTTGTCTCAAACGACAAAAAATAATAATGAACTCATTTTATTTTTTTAATTGTACAGTCAAAAACCAATAAACTTACTATTAAATGTAAAGATGATATTAAAGACTATCCTATAAAAGGCACTGGTCTATTAGAATTGTCTCCCGATTGCATCGGATTCTGCAAAACATTGCAATTCTTCCCATCTACTGAAATTACATCAAATTATAAAAATAATATAATCATAGACTTTGAAATCACCCAAGATGATTGTTGTAAGAAAGATATTGTCAATAAGACAATTCCATTACTTTCGCCTATCTCTTTAAATAATATTGACTTAGAATCGTTAACCCATGCATCTCGTCATTTCGACGATCTTGAGAATAATCTTAACAGATTCCAAAGTGAATCTCATTTTTATAAATACGGTAGCTATTATTCTGCCTTTACTTACTTTCTTATAGTTATTATGTTTTTTATATAGTCTACAAATTGTATAATTGCATAAGTAAGAAACGGAATCATACTAGTTGTTGTATTCAAATATTTAACCAGTGTAATACTAAGAAAAAAGTTAAAACCGATGTAACAAATTCGATTGAGATGTCCCAGATGTCATCTCATTCTGATGATGAAGATGTAATTAAATCATATCCATCAAATAGAAATTTAAACAATTGATTTTATAACTTAAAATAAAAATTGTGTCTCATTCTAGTATGTACTTACCTATTTTAAAAAGTATACTTTTAATATTTTAGTTGATTCTCATCTTCTTAGTAGTGTGTTAGATTTATCTTATTTCAAATGTTATCATAGAACGATATTTTGTAACTAGCATAGATGAAATAAGTATTGTACTTAATCTTTTTAATTTTAAACTGTTATCGTAAAGATAATAAATAACTATATAAAAATAAAATTGTGATTTTTAAATAAAATTGTGATTTTTAAATAAAATTGTAATTTTTAAATATCTTAACTATTGTAATATTATACAATGTTACTAAATCTAATTACTATTTTATATTATCCTAAATCTTTCTAATTAGAAAAATCTTATGTCAAAAATAAAAAGCATACAAAATAAAAATTGTAATTCTTTACATATTTTAATCTTACTGTTTTTACAAATGTAATGTTTTATAAGTTTCTAGATCCTGAAATAATATTAACATTTTTTTTTGTAACGCCGCTTCATCTTAATTTAGATAAAGCTCCGTCAAAAGGGGGGGGGGGGGGCTGTTATAACCCAACATTGTACTTGAGAATAGCTGACGACACGTTCAGTACTTTTCCATAGAAACTATGTAAATGTAAAGTGCAAGATTGCATATTCCATTATTATAATAATTTTAATATTTTAAAGTTAGTTTTGGCATTAGCAACCGCGAAGAGCAGTCTTCATTAGCTCTCCACGTTTCGGGATCTAGGAATCAGAGTGTTGGTTATCCTAATAAAAGAAGAATAGTAATTGTGTTTTTTTTAAAAAGACTAAATTTTTTTAAAAGTCCTAATAAAAGTAGGAATAGTAATTGTGGTTTTTTTTTATAAAAACGAATAGAGCGAGCCGCAAAATAGTTAGAAGAAATAGAACGAGCAAGATTGCAAATGAATAAAGACCAATTAAAAATTCAAATGGAAAGAAACAGAATAGAGAGAGAAAAAGTGGAAGCAATTACTAAACTTGCTAATGCAGCAAGAGATTTAGTTGAGATTTTAAAAAACAATAACAATGTATAATTTTTATTATTCTTAATTTGTGTTTTTTTTTATAAAAACGAATAGAGCGAGCCGCAAAACAGTTAGAAGAAATAGAACGAGCAAGATTGCAAATGAATAAAGACCAATTAAAAATTCAAATGGAAAGAAACAGAATAGAGAGAGAAAAAGTGGAAGCAATTACTAAACTTGCTTAAGCAGCAAGAGATTTAGTTGAGATTTTAAAAAACAATAACAATGTATAATTTTTATTATTCTTAATTTTTAAAGAATAAAGACTAATAAATGTAAATGTTAAGACATATTGATGTAGATTTTAACTTAAAACTGATTAATGTAAATGTTAAGACTGATTAAACCAATATTATAATTGAAGTAGAAGTTTGATTTTACCAGTGTTGATTAATTATTAATAGAAAAAATAATTTTGTTGTTTTCATTTGTTTTTGATTATCGATTAATAATAATTTACTAGTAATTAAAAATATCACCATAACATAAATAAATGTAAGACCTCATCACATACATTAATTAGCTAAAAACAACAAATGAAAAACAATATCAAGAAAGTTAATTGTTTAATAATCATATTATTTTACCACAGTTTAATTGTTAGTAAAAATTATTGTTGTTAAACAACCATTTATACAAGCAAGTTACGAAGGTTGAAATTGGTTGTGTTGATTAAAAATGATTGCATGATTATTGTTATTTTCATTTAATTCCATCCACAGTCTTGCAATCAGAGCTTGCTGTGCCAGCCTGCCTTGTTGTAGTTCCATGTTAACTCTGCTATGTGGTTCTCTAGCACTCTCAATTGTGATTGCTTAATTTCTTAAGTTAGCTTCTGCTGACCTATATTGACTTTGTTTCTCCATTTCTATTGCCTGTTCTTCTAGAGAAAGTTCTGGAACTGCAATACGTGCTTGGTTTGCCATGTTATGCAATACTGCACAAGCATTTATTATTTGGCCAGAAACTATGGGGCTGTAGTGCAATTTACGTGCTACTAATAAACATCTAAAAATTAAAGTTATACCATTAGCTGCAAAGTTTAATGCTACTTAGTGTCATGATTATTAATCTCTAAAGTTTGATGATAAATACCTAAAACGGGCTTTTAATACTTCAATACATCTTTCTACTGTATTCCTTGCGGAGATTTGCACATTATAATAGTGTGCTTCAGGAGAGCTATCTGATGCATTTAAAAAAGGAGTCATCATTGTTTTACGTAGAGGATATCCACTATCACCTGTAATAAAAGAGAAAATATACTGATATCTGAGGTACAATATATTTTTCAATACCTTAGTCAGATAAACTAGTCTATAAGTACCTTGATTAATAAGTAAAAATATAGGTACCATGAAAATTATTTACACTTACCAAGAAAAAACATTGTTTCTCTATTATCATAATTGTTATTCATATATGTATGTAGTGGATGAGCACTCCAGACTGTTGAGTCGTGGGTTGATCCAGGATGGCTAGGATCCACACAAAGAATATTCAGATCTTTATCACAAATCTGAAAGAAATTTTGTAATTTGAAATGTACTCATTTTCTTCATTCATTAATAGTATAATTGATTACACAATAAATATAAAATTTATTTTGAAATGCTTACTATCATCACATTCAAGGAATGGTACCCCTTTCTGTTTATAAATCTTTCTTCATGATGAATAGGCTTCACAATAGCCACATGGGTTCCGTCAATGCAACCAATAACTCCCGGCATTCTGTACTGGTTATAAAAACTGTAAAAGTATAAAATTTAGCAATAAAATATATTTTTGAGAAATATAAATGTAACCAAAAATTACTTGTATACCTGCGGCTTTTGTTACCTGTCTCACAGCTCTTGAGACTGTTGGTTGAGACACTGCGCAGTATATGCTTTGCCCGACAAGAGTCTGGTATGAACCAGAAACATAAAAAGACAGTGCTAAAAGTACCTGACAAAATTTAAAAGTTGTAAAAAGGTATTCAATAGGTGTACATGTATGATTTATCAATTATTGAAAAACCTACCTTATCTTTAACAGACAAAGCATCCTGTCTTCGTTGCACAACCATTATTGGAATGAGCTCTTTAATTAATATTGAGACTAACTCCTTGGTGAGCCTAAATGTTTTAATGAAATCGTTTTCAGGCATTTCGAAAGTCTTATTTCGTTTGCCCTTTGTATTCTTCTTCGTCGCGACTCACTTTCGGCCATATCTAATAATATAAAAGCTAAACCAAGGCTCATTTGGTATTATAAATTCAGCAACGATACCTATCAACAAATTTTTGTTCAACCGCGCTTAAATCGTGTAATTTGACGTTTGGTCGATCCGCATTCGATTGAAAGAAATGTCATTCCATCTTTTTGACTTTGTAAGTTTAATATAAATTGTATCACTGTTTATTTACCCGTGAAAATAAATAAAAAAAAAATCGCTTCTATATCGTTGCTACTTTTGTTACGTGAATTGGGCTACTAGTCCCCCGCAGAAATCGTACGTGGCCTCGGCCGCGGACATAAGTGCGGCGGTGTGCGAGGCGGTAGTGGCTGCGCTATCTCCAGGTAGATCATCATCGGCCATTCAGCCGACTCCGGCTCCTTCTCAAGCGATGCAGCCTAGTGTGACAACGAAGAGGGTACTGTCCCCGGACGAGTGGACTATGGTTGCCTCTAGAACCAAGCGGAGGCAACTCGAGAGAGGGTGTGTTGTCAACCCCCTTGACTATCGGACACCGTGTTCCAGTGGAGACGAAACTGAACCGGGGATGGAAGACCTATCCCGGGCAACATCACGGCAGCTCTTATCCAGGGCGAACGAATCTGCGAGGATCATCTCCGGCGTGGCGGGAGGACCAACATCCAAACTGAACAAGGCGGATCTCTCGAAAATAAATTCCCAGCTGGGAATCATCATGGAGGTGGTGGCTCATTTGGGCCTTATTGCTGAAACGGGGAAGAAGGAGGTCAGTAAGGCTCACTCGAAGGCGGAAGCAACAACACTGGCCTGGGAGCGGGAGTGCGCCCGGGTTGCGAAGGCCGAGGCGGAGGCAGCAAGGGCGGCCGCTCTGGCAGCCACCACGAGGGCTTCGGAGGCTGCATCTGCAGCAGGACCCGTCAGTGCTGGATTAAGGGCAGCGTCATATGCGGAGAAAGCGTCGGACCAACGATAGCGTTATACCCAGCGGAAGGAAGTAACCTCAAGACCTCGAAGGAAACCAAGAAGGCACTAAAGACCTCAATAACCCCCTCCTCGCTCCAGTTAAGGGTGGACCGAGTACGCAGAGTGGGCAATGGGGGCATCATCGTGCAAACCCATACAGACGAGGATCTGCGTAAGTTGAAAGCAGGGCTACCGGACACATTGAAGGCAAACGACATCAAGGGGAGATCTCCGTGGGTGGTTATCAGGGACCTTGAAGGAAAGGACCCTACCCTTGACGAGACACTGAGGGCCATACACGTGCAAAATTTCGCAGATAATAAGGAGTGGCCCGGTCTAGCCTTTCGTAACAGCCGACAAGGCTCAGATAGATCGGTTATGGTGTTGGCCTGTACTCCGTCACTCCGGAAAGCGCTAATAGGAAAAGGTCGACTATACGTGGGGTGGGAGGACTGCCGCGTGGAAGATTTTACCACTGTTATATGCTGTGGTAAGTGCCACTTCTATGGGCACAATGAAAAAAGGTGCCGACAAGATAATACAACATGCGGTCGCTGCGGAACTAGCGTCCATAAGATCGAAGACTGTAAAGTTGACAAACCACGGTGACGTCTGGCATTATCGTTGACGTCATTCTGACAGTGACAGGTGACGTTGACAAGTGATTTTGACTTTGACAGGTGACAGCTGTCAGGTGTGCTGTGACACTAAAGTAAACGTTTATAGACTCGCATTGTATATTTTACATACAAGTTTATATGCCGGCACCTTTGCGGTGCCGGCATATAAACTTGTACTAATAAAGAATTTTACACAGTGCGTTTTGTTGATTATTTGTGCATCCTATTCAAGTTCATAACATTAGTGTAGTTAATAGTAGAAAAGGACCTGTTTTTAGTGGTAGTTTTTGTAGTTTTTGTAGTCTTGTTTAATTGTAAATTGTAATTTGTAAATCTTCATTTCTATTGGCCAATTGTAAATAAATGAGTAGTTCAGAAGGAGAAGGGAAACCCCCCCCCCAACGGCTTTTAAGCCAAGATCATCTCTGAGGAGGACCCCGCCTGGGTCAATGCCGGCACCTAGGACAGGAGCTCACCCGAGCCCTCCGCAATGATCTGTGGTTGGATCGGCAGTTGGATCTCCGGAGTCGTTGGAGAACCTACCTCCAAGCTGAATAAAGCTGATCTAGCGACCATAAACGGCCAGCTGTCGGTGTTGATGGAGGTAATCGCGCACCTTGGCCTGATAGCGGAAGCGGGCCGAGGAGAAGTCCAGCGTACTAACACGAAGGTGGAAGTGGCCAACGAGGCTTGGGAGCGGGAGCGTGGGCGAGTCCAGAGAGCGGAAGCGGAGGCCAAGGCAGCGAAGAAGGAGGCTCTGGCAGCTGCCGCGAGGGCTACAGAGGCTGCGGCGAGATCGATCGCCACTACACCAGCCTCCTCTTATGCGGACAAAGTCAGGACGGGGGGTCCAACTATCGCTCTTTATCCGGCAGAAGGCAGCAACTTAAAGACCTCGGAGAAGATCAAGAAGATCCTGAAGACCTCCATTGCCCCCTCCTCACTCCAGTTAAAGGTGGATAGAGTAAGATGAGTGGGCAACGGCGCCATCATTGTGCAAAATCACACGGCAGAGGACCTGCGTAAACTAAAAGCAGCACGTCCGGATTCACTGAAGGCTAACGATATTAAAGGGAAATCACCACTAGTTGTTATCAGAGACCTTGAAGGGAAAGATCCTGCGCTTGAGGAGACACTGCGGGCATTACATACGCAAAACTTCGCAGATAACCAGGAAAGGCCACTCGCAAGGATGAAAGCGGAAAGCCGACTAGCCTTCAGAAAAACCAGACAGGGATTGGATAGATCACCGGCACTCCGAAAGGTGCTTGTTCAAAGAGGCCGACTGTACGTGGACTGGGAAGTCTGCAGGGTGGAGGATTTTACCACCGCCATATGCTGTGGCAAGTACCATCTATATGGACACAACAAAAAGCGGTGCCGACAGGAAAGCACGACATGCAGTCGCTGCGGTATAAATGACCACAAGACGGAAGACTGTAAAGCCGAGAAGCCACGATGTGCTACGTGCTACCGCTTTGGGCAGAAGGGGGCGGACACACATATCACCGGCGCACGGGACTGCCCGGCTCGAGTGCACGCAGAACGACGTATGGTTGAAAGCACCAATTATTAATGGCTCCGATAAAGTGTACAGTCGGCCAAGTGAATTTAGGAGGGGGTGAACTTGCCACAACGGAACTACCCCTAGTAGCCGAAGAGATGGATCTAGTCGTCGTTCTGGCTCAGGAACATTACCCTGGGGTCCATCAGAACATCGCTAGCAGTTTTCTGCGGTGCGGTCAGGCAAAGTCATGCATCTACGACCGTCGCAAGGACCTACCCTGCGCCCTCTTAGACCATCTGTCGAATACTCACTGCACAGTGTGTCACATACTTACCGACGAAGAGGGACTGTACGTGGTGTCTGCGTACTTTCAGTACAGCGATGATATAGATATGCATTAAGAACATTTGAGAATGGTTCTGGATTCTCTGAAAGGGAAAAAGGTCTTGGTAGGGGTGGACTCCAATGCGCATTCTCCGATGTGGTATTGCGAACCGCGGCAATACATTGGACGCGGGCCAGACGTCACGCACCACAGTGAGTCGATGGAGGCGTTTATCCTGGCTCGAGGCCTGCTATTAGCGAACAAGGAGGGCGAACCGCCCACGTTCTCAACGGTGAACGGATCGTCCGACATCGACCTCACATTAGTTAAAGAGGCATCCTGGCGACAGGATGGAGAGTGTGGATAGACAAATTTGAGAGCGACCACCGTCTCATCACATATACAGTGGCAAGTGAGGCCACTCCACGCGCCGAGCTGCTACAAGAGCCGAAGAAACGGCGCGACCGTGGTGTGGACTGGGCGCTCTTCGAGCGTCGCATACACAGTAGGATGGGCAACTTAAGGTGGGAGCGTTCCGCCTCGGCAGTCTGTGCTCAATTCACCGTTTTGGTATGGAGCACCGCAAAGCAGACGCTGGGATTGGTCAAGGCTAAGAAGTCGAACCGGGGATATGAATGGTGGACGCCTGAGCTCGATCGGATGCGTCACCTCAACAACAGGTTGAGACGATCCTGGCAGACGACCCGTCGGAGCGGTGGGCTCGAGGAGTCTGATGCCAGGGAACATTTCCGAGTCCGCCCTTGCCGAATAGCAAGAGCATTGGGACACGTCGGACCAGGAAGTGGAGGTTCGACTCAAGGCCACTTGGGTCAAGCCGGACTACGAAGTCTCCCAACTGCTGTCGGGTCACGGCTGCTTTAGGATTAGGCTGCATAAGATGCGTCTCTCGAAGGTAGGGGACTGTTTCTGTGGTGAGTCGGAGGTAGAGGATGTGCATCATGTCTTGTGGAAATGAAGCCTATACGGGGAAACGCGTAGGGAACTTTTGAGGGCTGTAGTGACTCTCCAGGTAGGCCCGGTCTACTACCCGGACCTCGTGGGATCCGAGGCGAACTTTAGGCGGCTACGGGATTTCGCGCGTGAGTGGCACAAGATTCGGAGTGGCCTCGAGAGAGAGGCAAAGACCCGAGGTGAAGAGAGAAGAGGATCGTGAACGGAGGCCAGCGGTACCACTTCGTAGTGGGCACGGGGCGACCTGGGAGGCACCGAAGGCGTCTTTGTGTACGTCCGCCCCAGAATAGGGAGAGGGACCATAGGGACAAAGGAGACAGATTTAGAAACAATATGTAGGGAGTCAAGTAGTGCGCGCGGTGGAAGCCATTCCGCGCGCATCTCCCGCTGCTTCGGCCTGTATAACCAAGATGGTTGCGTCAGGCCATGGGAGGTTGGTGGATTTGTCCCTACTGGGTTCGGTGTCGACCGCCGCCGCGTGCGCACGCTCTCGAAGTGCTCCGCGTTACCATACTTTTTGCTATATTAATTATTTGCTAATTGCTGCTATTATTGATTGGCTTTGATTATTATTGCTATAATTAGTGTGTTTTGTATATGGTGTTAGAATTGGTGCGAAATAGACGCTTTTATTAATATTTGTGACTGTCTTCAGTGTACAGCGAAATAGACGCATGCTCGCAGGGAGTATATAGTTTTTAGTTTCTTTAATATTCATAGAACACGAACTTTCTCTTATTTTGATCTTTCCGTTGTATATTTGTTAATTATAAGTGTCAATTAAAAAACTAGAACTGATATAATTTGTGCTACATATCCTCCTTTTGAGGTTATCCACGTGCGAACTATCTGTCAACCGACACGTGCTTTTTGACGGCTGACAAGTGACGTTAGACGTCAAAGATTGAAGTGTCTTTACGTTGACGCTTCATTTTGACAAGTGACAGGTGTCGCTGTCATTGTCAGAGTTGTGGGTGTTTTGACTGACATTGACATTTCTGGTGCAGCCACTGCAGCGTCACATGAAATTCCGTGTTTTGAACTTAGAAAATTTTTCCGTGAAAGCGGACCTTGCGGCTATAAACAACCAGCTGTCAATCATGATGGAAGTGGTGGCACACCTCGGCCTGATAGCTGAATCTAGTAAGGTGGACATAGATAAGGCAAACACAAGGGCAGAAGTGGCGAACACGACCTGGGAGCGGGAGCGGAACCGAGTACAAAAAGTGGAAGCGGAAGCGGAATCAGCTGAGTTATCGTCGCTCTTCACGTGACTCCATTGCGAGGCTGGAATAATAACGCGTATCTGCTTCACTCTGTTAGCAATATAGCGCTCTAATTTGTTGACGTCACGCTGTAGCCATGCTAGGACAACTGTAGAGTCTGTCCAACAATGATAAGTTTTTCTAAAAAGCTTAGCTAATAGTAAGGCTCCGCATAATTCCAATTGTGGTAGTGTAAGCCTTGTTTTCAGCGGCGCGACTTTAGTTTTCGCGGCTACGAGTGTTATTGTGACGTCATCTTTCGAATTCCGCACTCTACAGTATACAACAGCCGCGTAAGCCTTTTCGCTTGCATCACAGAAG